AGAAGAAGAAGAAGAAGAAAAAGAAGAAAACGAAATAGCAATGCCTCTGTTCTGGCTGTGCTAATAGACTGGCAGCTGTTCGCGGGGGCCTTGTTGGACAGCACCGGTCGAAAAAATCGGACAGAGAACCGCGACGCGGTTCCTGAGTGATGCGTACTGCAAAGGCATCGTGCGCGGGCAGGTAGAATGTTGCAACCTGCGTGCGTATCAGAAGGGCAGCTGCGTCGTGGCTGCGGAGCGCATCAGCACAGCAGCCTTCTGCAGCTTCCCTGGTCGAGCTTTGTTGCAGGCGGTCAATGTCGCCGTCGGCGAAGAGGCAGTGGGGCACTCGGGCAGCAGATACGTGTGGGGCAAAACAGGGCCCGGCGGCCGCCAAAGCTTACGGGAAGTGAACCCTGCGCACGCGTATGGCCACAGACCGTCGCGCCCGGACATATGGTGTTTGTCTCCGTACGAATTTACGACAACGTGGGAGCTGGAGCCACTGCGGATTCCACGGACACGTAGTGAGTGGCAACAGCTGCGCGGCACGCACTCGGATGTGACTTTGACAGCCAGGGGCGCCGCAAAATTCGGCACGGCCGAGGCAGACAACTGCAAGGTGCGGCTGCTGCCAGGCGTCGACTTCAGAAGAGCACAGGGCGCAGAAAGCCGGAACAAGGCGTATTATCCGTCAAGCGCCGGAAACGCGCTGTGCCACGCCTGGTGTTTGCGTCGCAAAGCCCGACCACAGTGTCCCCAGATGGCCAGCGCGCCGGTGCCGAATAGAACGGGCGAAGACACGGAGAGCAATGCGAAGATGACGATGACGTATTTTCGGGCATGGACACTGGACAAAAAACGTAGTGGAGACAAAGTGCGGTACATCAAGCACTTGCGTGAGCCAGGAACGACATGGGACAGAAGCTTGCGCAGGTGGTTGCTACAGCTGCCATGTGCCGAGACAAAGCAATACGTGGGGAACTTCTTGAGCGTGTACCGCGTTCGGCCGGACACCGAGCTGGACAATAGCGACAACGAGGACGACAATGAAGATCTGGTTGTGACGGAAGAGTTGTTAGGCGTAGCCTGCCAAACACATGTGGCAGTGGAAGAAGACAACCACAAAGAAAGCAAGTGGTCCACACATCGACGTTTGCTCGTGGACGCGTTACAGCGCGCCGAACAGCACTGGGGTGGCCGCGGCGTATCGAAGAGTGTGCCGGGAGAAGTGGGAAACCCATATGCGACAATGGACACGAAGGGCATCGTGAAAGGTTTGCATCGCGCGGCGGAGGCCCCCGCAGGGAACGCAACGCAGACGAAACTAGAGCCGAGCGTGACGCGACGGCCCGGCCGGTTGCAGGAAACCCTGGCGGCTATCGACCGGTGGAGCAGCACGGTCGCCGACGGCAAATGCAACCGCAAACAGGCCGAACTCTGTCAGCGCGTCGCGCAACAGGTCAGAGCAGAGCTGCTGGCAGAAGACGGCGCCAGTCCGCAGCCACTGCGCTGGGTCGTGCACGGGGGTCCCGGCACGGGTAAATCGCACACGTTGAAATTGATCCGTCGCGAGCTCTTTGAAGGTATCGCCGGGTGGACGCATGGCTCGCAATACCACGTCGTCACGCTGCAGGCGGTGATGGCCAAGGAACTGGACGGCGATACCATTCATCACGCGATGGGCCTAAATTGGCAAGGCGCGTCCGACGACAAGATCAGCGGAAGCAAGTTCCTCGACCTGAGTGCGAAGGCCGTGCAATGGCGGTGGCTGATCATTGATGAAATCAGCATGGTAAGCGCTGAGCTGCTGGCAAGAATGGATTTACGATGCCGAGAGCTAGTGCGCGATCTAGCGCAGAGCAAGTACGCCCCGGGCAGCGCGCACGCGCAGCCCTTCGGAGGGTTGAACGTACTAGTGGCAGGGGATTTATGGCAATTGCCACCACCGCGCGGAACTTTTTTGGGGGAAGTGCCTTGGGAAATGTTGACCAAGGGGACCAGCAAAAAAGTCGCCCACACCGTGCATGGGCAGAAGCTGGTGTGGGGCTCGCAGGCGGAGAACAGCATCATCCACGGCATCACAGAACTAGAGCAGTGTGAGCGCACGCGAGACACATGGCTGCAGACGCTGCAGCAGCAGATTCGGGAAGGTGCTTTGAGCGCCGACAATCACGCATTTCTGCATGGGCACGACACAGGTGTCCCGGGAAGTTGGTCCGGGGAAAAACTGGACTGCGAAAACGCAGCGTGCCAGCAACTGCTGCAGAGGAAGGTCGTCCCGGCTCGCATTCGCACACTGGAGTGCAAGCAATGCCAGCACGAACGCGCCTCGAAAAAGCGGGTGTTGTGACGAGCAAAGGAAGCTGGAGCAAGCAAAGGCTGTTTTTGCGACGAATGCGGTGAAGTACCACGTCAACAAGCTGCGTGCACTAGACTGGGCACGCCAGCACCGGCAAGAGGTCAAATATGCCATTGCAAAAGACACAATTTCCAGCCGAGCGTTGCAAGAAAAACCGGACTTGGGCAAAGACAAGTTGACATGGCTGCAACGTCACGATCAGGACTGCGGCGGGCTGTACGGGGTTTTGCCCTTGTGCATCGGCATGCCTGTCACGGCAACCGATCACTTGGATCGCCGCAGAGGCATACTGAAGGGATGTCCTGGCACAGTTGTTGGATGGAGCTGGCATGAAGCAGCGGGCACAGAAGCAGGGAGTACGACATATTTGGAATCAGCTCCCAACTTGTGTCTTTGTCCAGTTCCAGACCAAGTCCCAGTGGCGAGTGCAGGGGTTAGCCACGGACAACGTGTTTCCGGTGACGCTCCAACGGCAAGCGTGGCATCTGGACAAGGGCCGAAAGCGGCCCATGCTGCGGGTGGTGCGACGGCAATTTCCGTTGGCTCCCGGGTTTGCCACGACTGCGCACGCGGCGCAGGGCCAAACTTACGCAGAAGGGGCGGTCACGGACATGCAGATCGGCGAAGGCGGAGACCCTCTGACCGCATACATCGCTGTGACGCGAGTGAAAGATAGACACGGGTTACACATATACAGACCCTTCGATGCTGCACCCTATCAGAAAGGACGCAGCGTAGGGAGAGCTTTGCTGTTGCAGGCCTGGCGCGGAGAGAGCATTGACTGGGCAACGTTGCGCATGCGGCACCGCGAGGAGGAAGTGTGTCGCGAGTGCCACGAAAGCAAACCCAGAAGCGGGTACAGCGCCGGGCAATGGAAACGGGACGCGGACGCACGTGTGTGCAGAGAATGCGTGCGTAACTACGCAGCCAACAACACGCCCTGGCAATGCAACAGTTGCAAGGCATGGAAGCACGAAGACGCCTTTGCAAGAATGTACGCGCGCCCCCAATGCACGTTCTACCGCGTGTGCCAGACGTGCGAGGCACAGAAGCGGTGCTACAAGTGCGGCACGGCCAAGCCGGAAAGTGCATTCGGGGCGGCCGCGTGGAAAGGGCGCCATGCAGACCGACGTGTCTGCAGGGACTGCGCCATGAAAGTCAAGGGTGCGTGGCGCTGCGCCGTGTGCACGGAACGTAAGGCGCGCAATGGCTTCAGCGCCTGGTCCAGGCAGCGCGCTGCACCGCAAGACGGAACGCAGCGTTGCAACGCTTGTGTCCTCAGCGCGGCCAAGCGCGCAGCAGCGCAGCGCGCAAACAACAGACGTGCGCGGCGCAGAGGACGGCCTGCCCGGGCGGATGCACGGGTCTACAGCTGCCACGGGCAGCGGTTGCCACGAAGTGTCGCGCATAGAGCCATACGGCGCCTGGCTGCGACGCGGACGAAAGTAGCCGAAGAAAAGAGACAGCAAGTCATAGGTCTTGTACGGGAAGAGATCGCTGACCATGTGCGACAGAAGCAAGCCGAGGATGAGGTGCTCTTTCCCCGGGCGCAGGAGCCGAACCGGAGCAAAGAAAGCCAGACGGCTCAAAGCAAGACGGAACCGGAGGCACAAAGGCTCTCCACAGACAGCATGCCGTCGCGCAAACGCCGCATGGAACCACGACAAGACAAGCGCGCACAGCCGACGCCCACCAAGACCCAGCCCCGCACTCAGACAATGCAAGTAGCACAGGCAGAGCCTGCAGCGAAGTGTGCAGAAGACGTGTCGGTGAGCAGCCAAGCCAGGACAGCGCCTCCGCCACAACGAAAGTCGCAGGCAAAGCCGCAACAAGCGACGCAAGCCACCCCGACCGTCGCGCAGACGACAAACGCACCGCCGGCAAAGTTGGCTGGACAGACGGCCGCCGCGGAAACGTTCCAATATGCGTGTCCGTTTTGTGAGGTGTCTGTGACCAGCACTGTGCGCACAGGCCAAGTAGATCACCGCCGTGTGTGCGGGAAGTTGTTTCGTGTCAAAGACGGACACGTTGCCGCCAAGAACTTAGTCTATGCGTGTCCATTTTGCAATGGAACTGT